GAGGGAGGGTGAGGAGAAATGACACGGTTGTTAAACTGTGACCACCGATGCTGCCCGTTCTGTTGATCCGAGGTCACAGAACAGCCACAGACCAGCCTGAAGCTGCTCCACCACAGTGAGGGGGGGGGGGTAGTACGGCTGGCTGCAGGGTTTACTGAGCCCCCTGGGAAAATCAGTCACAGGGTGGAGGGAGGTCCTGCTCTGAGCTAATGATGATCTCAGTCCTGTGTTCAGCTGTAAGGTACCACTGAGGTAGAACACTGAGGTGGAACACTGAGGTAGAACACTGAGGTGGAACACTGAGGTAGAACACTGAGGTGGAACACTGAGGTAGAACACTGACCTCCACCTGACCTCCACCTGGGTACAGCATATCCATTTCTTTCCTACCTTCCTGTTGTTTGATTAGCTGGGTCACATGACCCAAACTGCTGCTCTGACACTGTAACAGACCCAGCTGTAACAGACCAGGCTGTAACAAACACAGCTGTAACAGACACAGCTGTTACAGACACAGCTGTAACAGACACAGCTGTTACAGACACAGCTGTAACAGACCCGGCTGTAACAGACACAGCTGTAACAGACACAGCTGTAACAGACCCAGCTGTAACAGGCCAGGCTGTAACAAACACAGCTGTAACAGACACAGCTGTAACAGACACAGCTGTAACAGACACAGCTGTAAACACTGAGGTGGAACACTGACCTCCACCTGGGTACAGTATATCCATTTCTTTCCTACCTTCCTGTTGTTTGATTAGCTGGGTCACATGACCCAAACTGCTGCTCTGACACTGTAACAGACCAGGCTGTAACAAACACAGCTGTAACAGACACAGCTGTAACAGACCCAGCTGTAACAGACACAGCTGTAACAGACCCAGCTGTAACAGACCCGGATGTTAATGTGCCGACTCGACCGCCAAAATAAAATAACAGGAAATGAAATTGAAACCAAAAAGCAGTCTGTAATGTTTTTATTTCTGCAGATAAGAAACTTCTCCATTTTAGGTCATTGGTGTGGAAGTGAATCTGTGTGTGTGTGTGTTTTAACTGTTTTAACTGATGATAATGAGTGTGTGACAGACTGGTGTTTTCTTCTGTCACTGCGTTTCTGTTCCAGGACCAGTATGATGTCATCGACAAACACACCCAGTCAGGCCTGGACTTGGTGGAGCGCTACATCAAGTTTGTGAAGGAGCGGACGGAGATAGAGCAGAGCTACGCCAAGCAGCTCAGGTGAGACCAGGTGGTTCCAGAACCACAGGACCAGGTCCAGGTCCAGAACAGTCCGCTGTTGATGATGATGATGATGATGATGATGGTCAACAGTGTGGTGAAAACACCAAAACATTTGAACCTGATTATGATCCACGTGTGTTCCTGTGTCACAGGAGTCTGTCAAAGAAGTACGCCAAAAGAGGGAGCAGAGAGGAGCAGGACTGCAGGTGAGACCTGGGTACTGCAGTCAAGACCAGAACCTGGGCTCACTGCACGTCCGTGGACTTGATACTTACAGTGCTTTCCTCCTCCTCCTCCTCCTCCTCCTCCTCCTCCTGCAGCAGGTTCAGTAACCACAGCTCCTTCCAGGAGATCCTGAATGAACTGAATGATTACGCCGGACAGCGGGAGCTCATCGCCGAGAACATGATGACCAGCATCTGTGTGGAGCTCACCAAGTACCTGCAGGAGCTGAAACAGGAACGGA